TGTCTATTCTAAAAAAAAAGGTTAACACTAGAAATACGTATTGCCGTAAGGTACCGTCAGCTGTGGAGCACGGTTAGTTTGAACTTAACATTTCATCAGCTCATTATGATCTATTCATGCCAGTTCTAGATCAATAAGTTAATTAACGCATGCATTACAATTAAGACAAATATTATGCTGTCATTATTAAAGTTCTTATCGATGTTCTAGCTCAAGTTTGTCAATCTTTAATGTGATGAGGGTCACTTAAATAAAGTTTATAATAACAAGTTACAGTAATAAAAATCTAGTGCGCGCAACACACAACTTTTACCGCTCAACTTCGAATAGAAATAATTTTCTGGCCATGTTGGACTATAATAAAATTTTTGAATTGCATTTTAACCGATCTAAACCTAAAAAAACACATCTAACAAATCATAAATACCATTAAAATAAAAAAAGTTCTATTTATTATATCATCAATTGCTTATGGATTGTACGATCCGTTGATTATGAATTGTACGACTATTAGTTATTAAACTGTTATTTTCGGTTGCAAAGTTTACTAAAACGGAATTAGTAGATTAGTATTATCTGTCATCGATAGGTCAAAAGTTGTCACAGTAGTTGTAAGTGGATACTGTTGCAATATCACAAAAAAAAAAATTTTCATCAAACTATTCACTAATTTAATTTTCTAAAAGGTTACATAATGATTTTTCGGAATAAACGGACGACAGATACCTAAATATATAAATATAATATAAGATCTAGAGTTATTAGGCTAAAGAAAACATATTTAAGGTTATAAACATATCTATGAAATATTCTTATATTTCACTTCTTCTTTCACAAAAGTACAATGAAATAGCAGTGGATACTGTTTGAATATCACAAATGGAAGATTCGTCAAATTATTCACTAATTTAAGTTTCTAAAAAGTTACATGACATTTTTTCGGAATATACGTTGCTACCTAATTTTTTAATTATGATATCAGATCTGTAATCACTAAACTACAGTAAATGTATTTAAGGTTATAAACATATGCTTTATACATCCATGAAATGATTTTATATTTTACTTCTTCTTTCACACAAGTTCAATTAAATAGTTTTTTCAACAATGTCATTGCCTTGGTTAGGTGGATTTTAAATACTTTTTTCAAACTTAAAAATATTTTAAAAGTTTACATTTAGTTAGTAAATTTCATTTAATTTCCTTGAAAACATGTGATTTATGTTGAATAATGTTAGTTTTAAGAGATTATTATTTATAATTTTTTTGCCACTCTCTGTTGCCTTTTACAACTTTCTATATTATATATTGTTTTTTTCTAAAATTCTCCGCTTTCCAACGATATATTATACGCATACCTTCTGACTAGTATTTCCAGAGATTCATTTTCGACCTGGATAAGTATTTTAATTTTTTTCTCCCTTATTCAATTATCAATTCTTCCAAAAGTTATATACGATTTTTTCGTAACTTTTAATAATGAGAGATAGTTAATTATTTGAAATGAACCATATTAAATGTACTTTACGAGAAGACATATATGAACATTGGACATTTAAGCCCTGTAAAGTGATATCAACGGGAAAAGGATCTAAATAATATTATAGACCACTTAATTATACAATGATACATGAGTTTAATAAAAATCGTTAGTGCCGTTTTTGAGGAAATCGGAAAAATGTGTTTCAGCGTTGATATAAAGTGGCACTTTCGGTTAGCCTTTTTTAAGGGAAAAGTTGCGGTCACATCTGCGGTATATACCTATCTTAAATACGTAATATCAGTTTCGTAAGACTTTTCGTTTTTGAGCTATACACACAGACCATTTTTCAGGACTTGGTTATTTGGACTCAGGGTACCTCAAAACGTGTATTGCCCTTGAAAATTCAGATTCAAAAATCTTCACGATCGCAATACTTACACTTACTATATATTACATATATAGGGAAGTTAAAGTAAAAATTATAATAAGAAGATTAATACATATATAGTGCGCGCATTACAAAATTTTCACTTACCATCAGGGCTACCCACAAGGGGGTTACATGACGCAAGTTGCGCCATTAATATCTTTGAGAGGGCACATTGGACGGAATTTCGAATTTTTGAGAGGGGCACATTTCGACGGACTTGTGAATTTTAATTTTCGAACGATCGGACAAAGAGAAAACATGGAACAAACTTTAGCAAGTTTAATTGTATATGATTTACGGTACTTTTATTTCTAATGTTTTTATGAAGAGGATAGCAATAAAATATCTTGGGGAGGGAGGGAAGTAGTTTATGCGCCATCGACCTTGGGAGGGAGGGGGGAGGAGGGCACCTCTGCTTACCGCTCTACTTTGAATATAAATCTTTTCTGGCAAAAACGGGCTATTACAAAGTTTTTGAAGTACATTTTTAACGGTTAAGCTTCAAACCTTACAACTAACTTGTAAAAACTCTTTATGACCATTCAAAGAACACAAATCTCTAACCACACCATTAAAAATAACGCAAAATTTTATTATATCGACGATAGGCAATAACTTCAGTTCACTTCAGTCTCTGAGTTATGTTCAGCGCTTGAGATCGGTAATTTAAAAAATCAAATCTGATCAACATTTTTAAAAATTATTTGATGATTTTTGTTGAGCGTGATTTTTATTTTTGATCATAAGTGATAAAAATTATATACCGATCACTATTTTCGAACGGACAAAGAAAAACGTTAGATTTTAGGCTAACTTTTTTTTTTCTACTTCTTTATTTTTGATCCTTCTCTACCTGAAACAAAACAAACACAAGATGCATCCAACAGATACTATTTTCTAATAATCCCTCTCCCTCCAACACCATAAAAAACTTATTAAAGATTACAAACCTCGCTCCTACACCCCCTCCTGAGTATCCCATCATCATGATCATTTTAATGAGCTTTAATATATAATCAATATCTAATTATATGAAGGCAAAGAGGTTAAGACGGGAAGGGTATATAGCGCAATGAATGACCGACATTCTCGCCTTCTCTTTTATTTATCCTCAAGCCTAAAATGTCAATTTTTCTTATTAGTAACAGCAAATCTGCTTATTGTCAAGCTCATGACAGGTGTGGATGGAAATATGAAGACAAAAAAAAAATATTTTCTAAGGAGTCGTAAACCAATGACTTCCTGTCCTTCAGTATCCTTTAACAACACCTCACTTATTCCTGTTGAACAAATCCGTTACCTAGGACTCCATCTGGACAAACGTCTAACTTGGAATCCTCATACCAGACTGAAACGACAAGAAACAGCTCGATGTTTCCGACTACTTCAACACTTACTAGACAAACGCTCTAACCTTCCAATCAATTATAAAAGACTCATTTACATGACTATAATAAGGCCTAGTTGGACTTACGGAGTTGAGCTATGGGGCTCCACCAAACCTTCAAATTCCTCTCGCATACAATCCTTACAATCCAAAATCCTTCGTAAAATCCTCAATGCTCCTTACTTTGTTACAAATAAAATTATCCATAATGACCTTGATGCTCCATATGTATCAGATTTGGCCCAATCCAGATATGTGTCCTTCCATAATAAACTTCATAACCATCCCAACCCCCTTGTCTCTAACCTTGCTTCCTATTCGATTCCTGATAACTCTCCGAGGCGTCTGAAAAGAAGATGCCAACGTGATCTTCTAATATAGACATGTTATTGGAGTGCTACCAATGATGTGGTTTCTCAACATGTGTTCCATGTCATTGTATCCATTTGCGAATTTACCAGATGTATTGTTTGTATACAGTTGTAAATATCATATAAATAAATAAAAAAATAAATTTTCTAAGGAAAAATTTAATATATGTTAAATAATCTTAATTATAATTCATAAGTTTTTCCTCAATCTACTCTACTTTCCACGACTTTCTATGTCATATATTATTTTACCTAAGATTATCAGCTTACTAAAGATATATTATACATATATGTTACTACTCAAATCCTCGAAAAAAATTTTTAACTTAGAAAAATATTTCCCCCTTAGTTCATTAGCAAATTATTTCAAAATCTATTTTTATCCATTTTTCCTTAATTCTAATGAAAGATATTTTATTATTTAAATCAATACTAAAGGTACTTTAGAGGAAGAAGTTTTTAAAAGTCATATTGTTAGTCTTGCCTGACCATTTTAAAGAGTTTGATACCTACCATATATTACAGATGATTTAAAAATTTTGGCAATATTTGAGAAAATTATAATAATATCTAAAATCGTTTATTTAAAGCGCTGGTTCTGGTTAGACGATTTTGACGCAAAGATTCCAGGCATATACACACCATTAAAGATGTGAATTGAGGTTCGTGCGACTTTATGTTTTTGAGCTAGTCTGTTCATATAAACACAGACCACTTTATAGGCGATTAATTTAACTTTAATCGTTTATTTCTGTTGAAAACTCAGATTTAAATGTTTTGACATTCACTTGACTTCCTCTTACTATATATTGTTGTAAAAAGCTCTCGCTCTGAAGCTCTTATCCCTCTCTCACCCCCTCCCTCCCCTCACCAAAAAAAAAGAATGAAATCCTGAATCTGCTAGAGGTTTTATATATTTTGTAAATATTTTCTTTAGGTACTGTTTTATATATACTGTTAGTGTAACAGTTCTTTTAGTCACAGGTAATTTTTCAGTCTGTTACAGACTGTTATTTTCCAGAATGAAGTTATTTTTCTATTCTATTCTAATTGACTTGGTATTCTGACTATTTGGGATCCTCATAATTTTAATAGTAAACTATATTCACATCTCTAAAGAATTCGGAAGTGTAGTGAAAATCCTTTTACACCTTACTTGTCTTGTTATCACAAACATTAGGACATATCTACGCACTTGTGTTTGTCATCGAAATTACCACTTGCGCCATATTTAAGGCCCATAAGCTAGTAGGAAAATATTAGCTCATCAATTTACATTTTTACCCATATATAAGGATCTGGAAATTCTGAATTGTACCAGAATCCTTTGGAAATAATAATGAATTCCAACTCTTTTGTCTTCCTGCTAGGTTTAACCGCTTCAGCTCATTGCTGGCCTTACAGCGGGGTTATCTCCAGTGTTAAGGAGCATATGACGGAGGACATCATTCAGTGGAAGGAGCAAGTAGAGGAAGACGCGAAGCTCATCCACAACCACATCAAGGATAATATACAAGCAGTTATGAGTGGTGATCCTTACCATGCTGTCAAGACAATCACGAAGAATTACATCGAGCTCGCCAAGGTTATTGCAGGACATGCAATGAACAACTCTTTCAAAATAGCACATGACCTCAAGGAAGATGTCGAGGTAATCTTCAGATAATTCTTTCATAAATATCTTGTTCAAAATACGAATGTCTATGGTTACAGTTAATTTTTGTTTATAAATTACGTAACACAACAGGGCAACGGTAGAAAAGATCTTAAAACTAAAATTTTAATTTTTTTAAAAAAGTTACAAACAAAGGGAAGTCACAGTCACCGATTTATCAAGTTTTACTTTCACTTACTTGTATATGAAATATATAGGAAGAGGAAGTCAAGTGACTGTCAAAACATTTAAATCCGAGTTTTCAACAGAAATAAACGATTAAAGTTAAAGTAACCGCGTTTAAAGTGGGCTAAAAGAGTCTGTATTTATATGAACAGCCTAGCTCAAAAACAATAAGTCACACGAACATCAATTCACGTATTTAACCGTATGTATATGCCTGGGATGTTACAGCAATCTTTGCGTCAAAATCGTCTACACAAAACCAGTATTTTAAATAAAAGATTTTACATATTTTTATAATTTTTTTCAAAAATGGCTAAAATTTTTAAATCATCATTAATATTTGGTAGGTATCAAGCTCATTAAAATAGTTAGGCAGGACTAACAGTATAACTTTTATTTATTTACGATATCTACAACTGTATTAATATATAAAATACATTTAGGAAATTTGATAACAGAAAATAATAACATGAAATAACTTGTTGAGAAACTACCCACTGGTAGCACTCTGAAATAAAAATGTATTTACAATAGGAGATCTCGAGGCAATCTTCTTTTCAGACGCCTCGGAGGGTTATCAGGGAAAGAAGAGGAAGCAAGGTTAGAGACAAGAGGATTCGGATTGTTCTGAAGTTTATTATGGAAGGATAGGTATCTGGATTGGGTCGAATCGGAATCATAAGGAACATTAAGATCGTTATGGATTATTTTATTGGTGACAGTAAGGAGCATTGAGTATTTTTCGAAGGATTTTGGATTGTAAGGATTGGATACAAGAGGAATTCGATGGCTTAGTGGAGCCCCAAAACTCAATTCCGAAAGTCCAAGATTGTGGTCATGTATATGAGTCTTTTGTAATTAACTGGAAGCTTAGAGCGTTTGTCTAGTAAGTGTTGGAGTAGTTGGAAACGTCGAGCGGTTTCTTGTCGTTTCAGTTTGGTATGAGGATTCCAAGTTAGACGTTTGTCCAAGTGGAGTCCAGGATTTGTTCAACGGGGGTAAGCGGGGTATTATTAAAGGATACTGTGTGACAGGAGGTCATAGGTTTACGGCTATGGATAAAGGTGATTTGATGGGATTTATTTGAATTTATTTTAATCCTCCAGTTTCGACACCATTCTTCAAGGTTTTTTATTGTGTGATTGAAGAGTGTGGGATGCAATGATTGGATCATTATTAATGTATACATGTATCATCAGTATGACTTTTAAAAACTTCTTCCTGTAAAATATCTTTAGTATTGTTTTACATAATAGAACATCTCTCATCTGTTAGAATTAAGGAAAAATAAATAAAAATAAATTTTGAAATAATTTGCTAATGAACTAAGCTGGAAATATTTTTTTAGGTTTTAAACAAATTTTCAAGGATTTGAGTAGTAACATATATATATTATATATCTTTGGTAAGCTGATAATTTTAGTCAAAATAATATCTAACATATAAAGTCATAGAAATTAGAGTAGATTGAGGAACAATTTCTGAAAATTAATATTATTTAATTTATATTAAATGTTTCCTTGGGAAATGAATACAATTTTCAAAAATAACTTTAACTTTCAAAATTATTTCTAAGTTTAACCTACATAAGATATGGTATATAATGGACCATATTTTTTTAGAGAAGGTGAGAAGTCCATGTCGGTCAGTCATTGCGCTCTATACTCTTACCATCTTAACCTCTTTGCCTTCATATAATTAGATATTGATTGCTTAATTTCTGTAAGCAGTTCTTTATTAATCCTTATACTGTATGCGTTACTACTCTGATCGCAGTTATCCATTTTTCTTTCTGGGGCGATTGCGATGAGGAAGTCCAGATTTTGCTGCCGTGTATCATAACTGGCTTTATTAAAACTATTATATAACTTTAATTTGATATTTATAGAAATTATTTGCAATTTCATTGTTATAAAGAGAGAATAATGTAGTGTGTTCTGTATAAATATATTTATATTCTATTCTGTTTAAAATTTCGTAAAATGTAAAATAGATTAAATAAGCTGTTTTTGTGTATAATAATGTAAATACCATAAATGAAAATAGCCTCGTTCCTACGAGTCTTACTTTAGTTTTATTTATTTATTCGTTTATGCTAATGTCATACCAATTCCGCATTTTGAAAAAATATTTCATATTTCATTTCACAGAAACTCATCGCAGAATATAATTCCGACTCTACCACAACTCAACCGGAAACAGAATCTCCAGTTAAACCGGAAACCGAGGACCCAATAGAATCGAAAACGTCAGATGAACCTGAAACCGAAACTCCAAATGAACCGGAAACTAAAGATGAAGTAGGAGCTGAGACTTCTGATGATCCGAAAAATGAAACATCAAATCAATCCGAAACAGATACATCAGATGAACCGAAAACTGACATTTCTGATGGGCAGGAAACCGGCACATCAGATGAATTCGAAAAAGAGAGTTCAAATGAAGCTGCAATAGAGACTTCAGATGAACAGGAAACAGAAACTTCCGATAAACCGGAAACAGAGGTTTCAGACGAAAAGAATACTGAAGCTAAAGGTAAAAATCATGCCAAAGGTAGCAAACATGGTAAAGAGCACAAGCATGCTAAAGAGAAACATCCTAAAGATGAAAACAAATCTGATGTTAATTCTAAACGCAAGATGATGTTCCAGACAAATATGCAAGTATCTTTTAAAAACAAATTCCGACGATGATGATGTAAATTTCGAACTCCTAGAATTTGTAATTGTAACCTGTAATTGTAATGTAAACATGTTTACAAACTACACGGAATTTTGTATTAGACAAATATATTCATTACATATTTAATGGTTTTTATTATTAAAAGAAATCCATACCTTTTACAATATCCCTGAATAAAGAAGCTTATAGAAATCAAATATAGATATTAAAAAAATAAAGACAATTCTTTCTGCTAAACATGTTATGAATTTAAAAAAAAAATTAATGATAGGTCAAAAGCATCAATATTTGAAAAAGAAGATTTTTGATAGGATTATATAATTAAATAGAAAATTATTTAGCTCTATATTTATTTAATTTTTTAATGGTTCTTGGGCGAATCTTCAGTGGCTTTTCAGATGTTGCAATTCTTAGTTTTCTTGATGATTTTGTGAATTTTCCTCAGAGGTTGGATTGACTTGACGTGAATACCGTTCTATTTTACTATTCTGGTACAGAGCTTGCAATATTATTCTTTAGTAGCAACAGTAACTTACTGTGCAACTGGAGCAGGAGTTCCTTGCTCAGCAGGGGCAGGAGTTTCTTGTACAGCAGGAGCTGGTGTTTCTTGGTCATTAGGAGGAGGAGTTTCTTGTACAACAGGAGTTGGTGTTTCTTGCTCAGCAGGTGCAGGAGTTTCTTGTACAACAGGAGCTGGGGTTTCTTTCTCAACAGGAGCAGGAGTTTCTTGTACAACAGGAGCTGGGGTTTCTTGTACAACAGGAGCTGGTGTTTCTTGCTCAGCAGGTGCAGGAGTTTCTTGTACAACAGGAGCTGGGGTTTCTTGCTCAACAGGAGCAGGAGTTTCTTGCTCAGCAGGTGCAGGAGTTTCTTGTACAACAGGAGCTGGGGTTTCTTGCTCAACAGGAGCAGGAGTTTCTTGTACAACAGGAGCTGGGGTTTCTTGCTCAACAGGAGCAGGAGTTTCTTGTACAACAGGAGCTGGGGTTTCTTGCTCAACAGGAGCAGGAGTTTCTTGTACAACAGGAGCTGGGGTTTCTTGCTCAACAGGAGCAGGAGTTTCTTGTACAACAGGAGCTGGGGTTTCTTGCTCAACAGGAGCAGGAGTTTCTTGTACAACAGGAGCTGGGGTTTCTTGCTCAACAGGAGCTGGGGTTTCTTGCTCAGCAGGTGCAGGAGTTTCCTCTGCAACAGGAGCTGGGGTTTCCGGGACTGGAGCAGCAGTAGTCGATTTCGGACGGAATGGATTGAGCAACTGAAAAAAAAAAATTGTTTTACATATGTCTTGTTATATGTATGTGAGGAAGCTGAGTGTAAATTTAAAATTAATTGAACTGTTAAATTTTTTTTCCAAATTATATGTTATAATTTATTTCCAAATTTCATTTATCAAAAGGCAACCTATATAAATTTAGGGTCTAGAGATAATCAACGTTAAGCATTCATCAGTGTGGTAAGTGAGTTTGACCATGGCGGTCACCATGATAAGATTTAGCACCCTGAAATTCTATTCCCTTCCCTCTTATGAGTGCTAAATACCCCGTTACCCTGTTACCCGGTTTATCTTCAAATCATGATGTGGTTTATGATGTCTGTAACCGCTCAGAAGTTTTGTCCATGGATAGTTTGTTTAAAGAAAAACTATATAAGAGTAACTGGTGTGCCTACTGACCTTGAACAGCCATAAGCATCTACACCACTTTGTAAGTCTTCGAACCTGCCTGAACTATTGAGACAGTGAATACAAAATCATCAAACATTCATAAAAGCATATATTAGTATGGAAATTAAAGTATCTTCTTTGTTTATTCAAAATTGATAATGAGTAAATAGTTCATTTCGATAGTTATCGAACTTGGTATCGACGATATGTAAGGAGACCACATCCCACCGCCAGATATCTAGGTGGTGTTAGTGTAAATAATGAAAAAATAAAAGTATATAATGACATATAAAAATTTCTCCCCACCACTCCAGAGAAAAAGTCTGTTATTTTTGGGAAAAGCTTGACAAAGAAACTATATAATTGCCGGAAGCTTCTCTTATTAATATTTTAAATATTAATGGTTTACTGTATAAAGATTGTTTTGGATTATTTACTCGTTTTGCGATATTTATTATGTAAAGCTACTCTACAGAAGATCCAAACACTAACCATTGTGTATATAAAATAGATATTGTATTTTTTTTGTTTCATGCTCACAAAATAACTACATAAGTTCTGTAGTCGATATGTTTTTAAATTAAATTATTACATTTGTAACAAGTTAATAATGCCCAGTTACCTTCAAATCTTCCAAAGCATCAGCAGCGAACTTTCCACCATTTTGTAAATGTTGGTCTATTACAGTTTTACCCATGTTAATTGAGTTCTTGGTAATCGTCTTCGCTGCTCCGAAGATGTTACCGCTGAGGATGGCATTGGTATTTTCTTTGACGTCTTCGGTCAATCTATTGATGTTTCCTTTGATTTGATCACGGATCAATTGTACGTTCTCTCTTTGGTGCTTAGCAACGGAACTGATAAAGCCACCGATTGAGAAAGCTTGGCTGCAGGCGACCAAACCGACCAAGAAAGTAACAGCAATAAACGACTTCATGACTATGTGGACAAACTCTGAGGTTTGAGACCTTTTGGGGATTGTGGCTCTTATTTATACCCGTTGAAAGAATAGAAAATCTAATTAGCCAATATTTACAATTTTTTTTTTAAAAACATTCATTAATAAAAGATACCAATCAAACATCAATTCTAAATATTATACCTCAAGGTTGTCACTACGTTTTAATTTATACAATTAAAAATTTGTAGAATTTTACCTGTGACTAAAATCGTTATAAGGATAATCCGCGGTACAAACGCCTTTTTATCAAATTATTACTATATAGTATATTATTTAGAAAAAATACATTTTGCCTAAATTAAGGGCATTGAGTATTTAGGATGAATGAAACACAAACATACCATATATACAATAAAAAACAAAAGAAGATTATAACAAAATAAAATAAAATAAAACTTGGAGTAACAGAATAAATCGATCGTGATACAACATTATATAAAAAAATAAATAAATAAGAACACATTCATACTTATTTACAATATTTACAGTCAGCCGAGGGAGTTCCGAGTCGGGCCTTTTCCCCCACGTGTGGAGGATAAGGCAAGACTCCAAGAGATCCCAGCGCTTCTCTCTCAGCCGCATCACTAGGATGGGAATCCAGTGAAGACCATCGCCAGGACTCCAATGACATCTTTACAAACGTTCTCGAGGCAACTCCCGCTTCAACCTTCGAGGAGGATTGTGGGGATGACTGGAACTGGATAAGAATTGTGCTAAGGGATTAGGATGATGGATTAGGTTCAGGTGAAAATTTGAAAATCGGAATGGAATAACTTCAAGGATATAAGTGATGTTAAGGTCATGATGTAAGGTTTTGTTCGTAACATAATAAGGAACATTGACTATTATATGGAGGACTTTAGACTGGAAGGATTGGATGCGTTATCAAATTATTAATATGAAAGTTCGTGAAGGACTTCATTTCATCGTAACCTACAATTTTTTATTTACGAAAATTCTCAGAGATGGAGGGTTTTCTTATTAAATTAATTAAATTACCACAAACTAATGAATACCATTGGCTTTCTATTTGAATTTTATTATAATTTTAGCACAAAATCTAGAAAAAAAAATGGCTTCAAAAATATTAGGCCGTTTGGGCTAATTAATAACAACGTTATTAATTATGCCGTTTGGGCTAGTTAATAACCTCGTATATTGACACTTTGAGGGGTGGAGGTCAGGCTAAACGGCACATTATTTGTATAATTGTGGGTTGATGGTTGACTGTGGTGAATAATTAAGAGAAGGATGATTGGGGTGATTAGTCATAATAAAAATGGCAAATATAAATAATAATATTTATTTTAACATTTGCCGACGTTCATCAGGGCTGATCGAAGTGATCTGTTCAATCGATTATTATTTTTATAAACTAATTTTTTTCTCAATTTCGTAATCAAATTATCTTATGATTTAAGTAGAAAGTAAATAGCTGTTTTTAATAATTCATTAATTAATATATACGAATTTTAATGGCCTCATGGGTTGAAATTGCCCAATTTCTAAGAATTTTCATAAAGAAGAACGTTCTAGGATACGATATGATGGAGCTATTCAAGAAGTTTTAGAAGGATGTTAATAATTTGATAAAAAGAGGTCTGTACAGCGGATTAGGAGTATTATACTGGATAACAACGTTCTTATAAACAAGGGGTCGCAAATCAACTCTTCACTATGTTAAGAACATTTTTTTTTTTTTTAAGAAGACTGGTATCTTTTCCATGACATTATTTTAGACAAACATAAAATAAATTTACATAAGATCTCTCATCCACTACCATTTTAGTCTTTATGATGTCAGGAATACTGGTAGTGGTCATTTTTACCATAAGCTTATTGTTAGTTCCTTGTAAATTGTCTTAATATCTTTTGCTGTTCGCTGACTTTTGGCATTGTTAGGTCAGTAAATAAACTGGCGTTTGAAACATTTCGAGGTGCTTGTGAAAGAAGTCTAAATGTTTTTGATTGGAATGTTTTGTGGCTTAGTATGAGTGTCTTTTTGGTAGGACTGAAAATTGTGTAAGAAAGAAACAAAGAACAATTGTGTAAAAACAAAGAACTGTAAGTTCTTGCGAAACACGAAAATTACTAAAAATAAATATGTAGCTCTGTCCAAAACATTGTTGAAAATAAGTGGGGAGGACCTGGATAGGCAAACTCTCTTGGGGCACACCCAGTCTCTGTATAGTGGTTAGCCTTAATCAAAATAAAATCATTGTTGACTAACGGAAAATCCATACTCACGCTAACAATAAACTTTAATAATATTACTTTAATTATGAATACAATGATAAAGCAATTAATATAAATTACGATAGTGTTGTGCACAATATATAGGTATTTAGTTTTTCAAATTTATAAACTAATTAGTTTTCCATCTTACCTTATTCTATTACTCTATTGTATCAAATTCTGTTTATTTTTTATGAAAACATTTGTTTTTCATTTAATCATTTAAAGCTAACATTATTAACCACTAACAAGTCTTGTAAAGACTAAAAAAAAAGTGCAAATGAACCTTTCTCAGTTGCATTTGTAATATCTCTTTATAAACAAATTAATAAGTTATTATACCTGAAATTTCTATATATTGTACTAACCTTGGTTAGTACTAGTCGCTGTCAATATTATAGCCCAAACATTCCATAGGACTAAAATCAATCAGGTAATTAAATAAATCTAAAAAAATTAAGAAACATGCATGTATGTATCACCAAACTTATTTTTATTTATTTTAAAGAGGAATTTCATTTTATTTTGTTTAATTACTAATAAACAATATTTAATTATTGCATCTATTTTTTATACAAACTGATATCGAAAAAATTTTATTTTGTTTGAAATCCTTCTAATTAATTCATCCCCACAATTTTTTTGCTAAACCAGATAAACTCCATCCCTGCCTTTTAGCTGGCACTGGGGTTTCAGGTTCTACAGTTGGTACTTCAGAAGCTGGAGTTTCTGGTTCTGCAACTGGTACCTCAGGGGCTGGTGTTTCTGGTTCCTCAGGAGCTGGTGTTTCTGGTTCCTCAGGAGCTGGTGTTTCTGGTTCCTCAGGAGCTGGTGTTTCTGGTTCCTCAGGAGCTGGTGTTTCTGGTTCCTCAGGAGCTGGTGTTTCTGGTTCCTCAGGAGCTGGTGTTTCTGGTTCCTCAGGAGCTGGTGTCTCTGGTTCCTCGGGTGCTGGTGTTTCTGGTTCCTCAGGGGCTGGTGTTTCTGGTTCTTCAGGAGCTGGTGTTTCTGGTTTCGCAGGGGCTGGTGTTTCTGGTTCCTCAGGAGCTGGAGTCTCTGGTTCTTCGGGGGCTGGTGTTTCTGGTTCCTCAGGAGCTGGTGTTTCTGGTTCCTCAGGAGCTGGTGTTTCTGGTTCCTCAGGGGCTGGAGTCTCTGGTTCTTCAGGGGCTGGTGTTTCTGGTTCCTCAGGAGCTGGTGTTTCTGGTTTCTCAGGGACAGGGGTTTCTGGTTCTTCAGGTGCTGGTGTTTCTGGTTCTTCAGGGGCTGGAGTCTCTGGTTCTTCAGGTGCTGGGGTTTCTGGTTCTTCAGGGGCTGGAGTCTCTGGTTCTTCAGGTGCTGGGGTTTCTGGTTCTTCAGGAGCTGGGGTTTCTTTTCCAACAGGAGCAGGAGTTTTTTCAGTGGCTACTGTGATTATTTCTTCTACAGGTTTGTTTGTTGTCGGTGCTGGAGGTGGAAGTGGAGTAGTTGATGTAGCTGGGGCTGGAAGTGGAGTGGTTTTCGGTGCTGGTGGTGGTGGTGGTGGAGGTGGAGTAGTTTTCGGTGCTGGTGGTGGAAGTGGAGTAGTTTTCGGTGTTGGTCTTGAGGTGGTTGTCGGGGCTGGTGGTGGAGGTGGTGTTGTTTTTGGAGCTGGAGGTGGTGGTGGAGGGGTTGTCGGTCTTGGCCTTGGTCGAAATGGATTGAGATGCTGTTAACAAAAAATATATATTAGTGTTCATGCATGTATGTAATAGTATCATCTCTTTATACTAATTATGACCTACATCTACTAAAAGGAAATGGGTGCATGGGTAATAGAGGAATATAAAATCTATTTCCCCAACATTTCGAAATGGAATAGATCTCCATTGCATAGGGATCGCGTCCAAGTTATTAACTCACGTGTCCTTTGGTGTGACTATTTATCATAGTTAATGCCAATTTCATATCCCACACATTAGGTAAAACATTTACTTTCTGATATCTATTTTAGTGGTTACTGAAGAAATGTATATATTTTGCCCATCAATTAACATTGAATGGGAATAAAATAGCAAACCAGTGTGATTCCGAATCAATGAAGGTATCACAGTAATCTTAAGGTCATCTCAATCTAAGGTGATACTATTTTGAATAGGCCAAAAGGAATTTTCAACGTCCCCCCCCGTCCCTCAGAAATTAAAAAAAACATCAAAATATGCTTCTTTCAAAAATGGTGATGGCGCCGTGTGAAACCCCCTTCTGGGCACCCCTGTCTTCCCCTAACGTTTCAACCTGTCCCTAAATACTATCGATTTTATGAATGTGCAACGTTTTACAGATTTATTTTTAAAATTGTTTCTATGTATCAACTTTTCTTTTTAAAATATTTTTAATAATGAGGAATATTATGAGGTTATTGGTGGTGTATTTATGGAAAAACTACTGATTTAGGATTGATTAAGAAGCTTGAATATGATGGATATAGCGATTTAAAAAACTTTATTCTCTGTCTACAAATATCACATTAATAACCGCCTGTTTCACTAACCACTGCGTATTGTCTTAACCACAGCTTGAAAATAAAAGTTAAGTTTCATTTTGAATTAGTACCAATGTGACTGAAACTTTTATTTTAAATTATTTTACTGTTATTTAGGAACTTATTCCCATGGTAACTTTCAAGTAAAGATTTATAGAATATTTATTTAAAAGTTTTGTAAAATAAAATAAATACATAAAAAATCTCGGTAACAAACAAATTTAAAAAATGGAAATTGTTCAGTACACTCTTAAGACGAAAATCAAGATCGAGATAATTTACATTTTTTTTTTGGTCCATCTCTTCCTTATAGCCTTCACGATTTCCTCTCGGGCCAGGGGATGAGGACTGGGTGGGTATTAATGATACAGTTAAAAGCTCCCCCGTCACCGGGACGTGAACTCGTGATTATTTTATCATTAAATTTTTTTTTATCTGGGTGCCAGAAAACGCAAGTTTTACACACACATTAGCTCGCTCGGCCACCCCAACTTACAATATTTACAAACAGCCGAGGGTGTTCTGAGTCCTAAGTACCCAAGTGTGGAGGACATGGGAGACTAAGAAATCCCAGCAGTTCTCTCCCAACCGACATTAGAGTTATAGATAACTAAAATTGTCGCCATTTTTGTAGCTAATTATATATTTTGTCTTTTCCATGTTTATTTCACCGGCTTTCATCAACTTGTTGTATTTAGTTATATAGTTGCGAGTCATTGTTCAACAGTACCAAATTATCATTCAGGCACTGAAGGCTAAAGTAATTAGGAGCGCAGGTATCTACAGCCTCAACGAAGGAGATTTATCTCTACTCTTCGCTGCAGATAACTACTCTTACTACGAGGCATTCGTGTATGGGTCTAAGGAAGTAATAGGCATTTCAACACAAAATTTCAATCCGGGTTGACTTCAGGACAGAGATACAGGAAAAGACTTAAATTTTATTGTTTTATATAATAAAATGGAATCATGTATTGTCGTAAAATAAGGGAAGGATCGGGAAATAAATAAATAGTACCGATCAGCATGGCCAAACACGATTATTTTCGGTATGCATCACCTCCCTAATGACATGATCTATTGCTTAATTAAAAAGAATTTATATATGTATTTATAAATAAATATATTTAAATTACCTTCAAATCCTGTTTAGCGTCATCAATGTATTTTTGGTTATTATTAATTTGTTGGTCGAAAACAGTTTTACCCAAGTTAACGGAATTCTTGGTTATCGTCAATGCAGCTCCGAGGAGATTACCACTGAGGATAGCATTTGTATTTTCTTTGATGTCTTCTGCCAATTGGTTGATGTTACTTTTAGCTTGATCACGACCCAATTGTACGTTTTCTCTCTGATGTTTAGCAACAGAACTGATAAAGCCACCGATCGAGAAGGCTTTGCAGTATGCGGCTAGTCCTACCAGGACGATAACAAAGACGAACGACTTCATAACTAAGACCAAAATGGACTGGTACCTTCTAAACGCTTCTAGACTTTATATACCAATTAAAGAATTGCGGTGCTGATTGATAAATATTTACTTGCCATTGACTAGGCAAATTAAAAGCGAAATTTTATTGTTTAAATGCATATATATGCATACATGTCTATGTGGATGTTATCCAAGGTTGTCAATATCAACTAGGAATATTTCCTACTTCCTGATGTTTACTATTTTCAAATATTAAGTGTTTAAGTCCTCAGACATTTAAAATCCTTCAATTTTTACCACTCTTTCACATCAGTCACAATATTTCTGTCATTATGCTTCTTTTGGCTAAAATTCAGTCAGCATCAATAGTTTTTCAAGGAAAATAATCTAAATATTATATTACCTAGGTTGTCACTGTATTTAATTGATTCAATTAAATGTCCCAGTTTTACCTAAAGAATTTCGAGTTAAGAGTCGCAAATCAAGACTTCACTGTTTTAAAAACGTGAAATTGAAATTTTTTTGAAAATATGATAATCATTGAAAATAAATATGTAGCTCTGGCCAAACAAAATAGATTTAAAAATGATAATTACAAAATATCATAGAAATACAAAAGCATATCATTAAACTATTTCAGTAAAATAAAAGATAAAACTCAGTTAATGAAAACCAAAACAATATATATCAACTACAATACTCAAATGTAAAAAAAATATACATTGAAAAATCAATACAAAATTAAGAATAAAGAATAAACCAACATGGAAACTTCATAAGATACAATAGAAACCATACTGCTTTAAGTTACCACATTATAGATAGTAAACATAGTCATGAGATTAGTTTTGACAGTGTAAAAATAGTTGGCAAAGAAAAAACACAATAAAAAATAGAATAAACGAAACTTTATTCATATATAAATATCTAGAATAAACATTAAATATAAAATAATATTTAAAGTTTATTCATCATACTTGGAACCAAACCATACAATAACTTATATAAAATCTTAACCATCACCCTAACTAAAACCCTAATTGTACTATAATCTTATTAGTTAGGTAATGGCTATGATAAGATAATGGTTTTGCAAATTCTAGTTTTTAAGTTTTGAGCCTGGATATCATCCTAGATTCTAACCACAATCCAACAATGTCATCGTGTGGTAGACGTTATCTCCTCTGCATTGGAGCGTGGAATGTATTGCACTGGAGTTTTTCTCGACGTTGAACAGGCGTTTGATCGAGTCTGGCATCCGGGATTGCTTTACAAACTCCGTAAATTCCTTCCCCCTACTTATTTTCTTATCATCAGTTCCTATCTTACTGATAGACACTTCGAAGTAAATCACAATAATACCTATTCATCCCTCTTTTCTCAATCTGCTGGAGTTCCTCAAGGTAGCCGGAGTTCCTATCCTTCACACAGTTTATACAGCTGATATCCCAACCCATCCTAACACTGTTATCACTACGTATGCTGATGACACATGTATCCTGTCAGTTAATAATGATCCGACAATTGCATCCCAAACTCTTCAATCACACATCACAAACCTTGAAGAATGGTGTCAAAACTGGAGGATTAAAATAAATTCCAATAAATCCCATCAAATCACCTTTACCCGTCGTCGTAAACCAATGACTTGCTATCCTATAGTATCCTTTAATAACACCCCACTTATCCCTGTAGAACAAATCCGATACCTAGGACTCCAGCTGGACAAACGTCTCACTTAGAATCCTCATACAAGACTGAAACGACAAGAAACTGCTCGACGTTTCCGCTTACTCCAACACTTACTGGACAAACGCTCTAAACTTCCAATGAATTACAAACGACTCATATACATGACTATAATAAGACTTATTTGGACTTATGGAGTTGAGCTATGGGGCTCCACTAAACCATCAAATTCCTCTCGTATCCAATCTTTACAATTTAAAATTCTTCGTAAAATTCTCAATGCTCCTTACTTTGTCACAAATAAAATAATCCATAAAGACCTCAATATTCCATATGTTTCCGATTTGGCCAAATCCAGATATCTATCCTTCCATAATAAACTTCATAACCATCCGAATCCTCTTGTTCAAACCTTGCTTCCTCTTCGATTCCTGATAACCCTCCGAGGCGTCTGAAAAGAAGATGGCCTCGTGATCTCCTCATCTAGACAAATTATTAGAGTGCTACCAATGGCTAGTTTCTCAACAAGCGTGTTTCATGTGATTATATTCCTATGTACACATTTACTTGATGTATTCATACTAATACATCCTGAAACTCTTCCATCCCTTCCGCCATCTCTTACCTATATCCACACGTAAACTCCTTGTATCCGCCCTCATCTTCCCCCACATTGACTACGGCTGCGTAGTGTACTGTGGCCTCTCATCGGAACTTGGAGTCAGACTGAAAAGAATAATGAATGGCTTAGTACGATTTGTCAATGGAACCCCGAGACGTTCTTATGTTTCCCACTACTACGCCGAGTTAGGGTGGCTCTTTCAGTCCTTCAGAAGACAGTATTTCCTAGGTACATTCCTTTACCAAATAATCTATAATCATCGTCCGTCCTACGCATTCAATCTCCTTCAATTTAAGTCATCTATCCACTCCCTCTCCACAAGATCTCGTCCTTCCGACCTCTATATCCCTTTCCACAAATCGGCCTCATTTCAACACTCCTTTATTGTCCGCTCCAACACATTTTGGAATTCCATCCCACTTAAAATCCGCCGTGCACCATCCTTATCCACATTTAAAACCCTCTTATTCCAATTCCTCCTTAAAACTCAATCAGACGCTGGGTAGTCATTTATAATGTATATTATATGTGTATATAATCTCGTCTATATGTATATTATCTTTTCTTTTCTCCAATCAATCAACATCAAAGGATTTAGATTATATAGAACTTGTATAATGTTTACAATACTATTATTGTATTCTTCGAACATACTAAGATACATATGTAAATCATTTAAAGTAAATATTTATCCACTCTTTTATTATTATTATTTTTTTTATTAATACAATAGCATGACAACAAAAGTTATTTGTCGCTCATTTATAATTCCATAGCTTATTGTTTATAGCAGCTATTTTGCAGTATTAGGACCTTACTGCTTATATTATGTCTTTACTATATCTGTACAGTTATGTAAATACTTCTTTTAGCCCTTATTTTTAAGCATTTTTTTTTTTTTTTTGTTTTTTTTTATTGTAAAATGCATTTTGGCCAGATGTAATGTTAATTTTATGTACAATATTGTTATTCTCAAGGGACTTTGTCCCATAATAAAGTTGACTCTTCTATTCTATTCTATAATACAGTTGTAAATATAATAATAAAAGTTTAAAAAAAAAAAAAAGTTTTGAGACAACAGGCCCGGACCAGAGATGGGCAAATGCTACTTTGAGTACAGAGTACCAAGTATTTTACTAAAAATTGAATCACTAATGAGAATTTAATCACTACTTTAGTTAATCTTTTGGCATCAACTGAAATAGTAATTAAATTATTTGCTACTCAAAAAAGGTCAGTATTTGAGTAAAATACTTGTTACTCAGTACTCAGAGGAGCATTTTCCCATCTCTGTCGGGAGCTAATTAATCTAAAGTTTGTCCCTTATAAACATCAACTTAATTAATATAGACTTAAAGCTTATGAAACAAGAAAGTTTTTCTAAAAGTAGAGTATATGTTGTATCGTTGGAGGATGATAAAACAAAATCGTGTACAATTTATGATTTAAAAAAAAACAACTTAACTTTTGCCGTTTTTTTTTTTTAGTTTAGCCCCTTTCAAAAGTCCTCCTCATATGGTTTTAACAATGATAAACTCTATTTACTGTTGAAGTAAATTTTCTTTAGTTTACATTAAAGCAATTTTTAATTTAAATAATTGCTGCTTCCTATTCTACAAAAAACCTGACTTACTTAAAAAAAAAAAAAAAACACAAAACTTAAATTTCCTACTTTTCTGCTGAAAATCTGACAAATGCTTGTATACACTTTTTTGTAGCTCTTGAGAATTTTCATCATTTCTAAAAATATTTCCCTCTACTTACGAGACACCCTGTACAAACAAAGGTAACATAGTTAAAATATGATATATAGCTATAAACTTTTTATTTTTTATTTTTATTATTTCTTAATTATATTTACTGTACTATATCAAATAAATACATCTAGTAAATTTGAACATATGGATATAACGACATGAAAACACTTGCTGAGTAACTACCAAATGGTAGCACTCTAATAATATGTCTACATTAGGAGAACACGGAGCCATCTTCTTTTCAGATGCCTCGGAGGGTTATCAGGAATTGAAGAAGAAGCAAGGTTAGAAACGAGAGGGTTGGGATGATTCTGAAGTTTATTATGGAAGGATAGGTATCTGGATTGGGCCAGATCTGAAACAAAAGATACATTAAGGTCATTACGGATGGTTTTATTTGTAACAAAGTAGAGACCATCAAGGATTTTAAGAAGGATTTTGGATTGTAAGGATTGGATACGAGAGGAATTCGATGGTTTAGTGGAGCCCCATAGCTCAACTCCGTAAGTCCAAATAGGCCTTATTATAGTCATGTATATGAGTCTTTTGTAATTAATCGGAAGTTTAGAGCGTTTGCTTAGTAAGTGCTAAAGTAACTGGAAACGTCGAGCTCGTCTTGTCGTTTCAGTCTAGTATGAGCTATAAACTGAAATTCAAAACTGTACTTAAAATTATTGTGATGCCTATAAGTATGATATAGTATATATGATATAAGTATGATACATTTGTTCTAAAAGTAAGCCTAATGTAGATAATATTTGTTTTTAAGCCTCTGTTGTATTAAACAATTATTAATCAAATATGGCGTGATCGATTTGACGTATACGAATAGATTGATGAACATCTAAATTCATATTCTAGTTCAAACAGTGAGAATCATCCTGATTTTTAATTGTGATTCTTTTATTTATGGGATTAGTTCTGATGTAATCAATTATTAGTATGTATTAATTGGAATTTGAAATTCGAAGGATTTTCTATTATAAAGCACACAAGTACACACTAGTAGACGACAATGTCTGTAGCCCGTCTAGAGACATGATCGAGAGACTATAGGCCTGCCATTTTTGCTCTCG